TTTGGTCCACTTCGGAGTTTACGAAGTTTGTTTTCTGAAGGAGAAGTAATTTGCAAACGACCAGCAATCTTACCCAACAGTTCCAAATATTGATCAGAAGAGAGGCTGTCAAAGCTGTCCATATCCAGCAGAGGAAAAAGGCGGTAGGTGGTGTCTAGTTCTGCAGCACGGGAAGATGTCGACAAGAAGAGGAAGCATTAAAAACATGGGGATGATTTGTCACAGACAATAAATTAGACTAGGAATAGTATGAAGTAAATACTTAATATGGATAGGGACTAGGAGCTGCCCTGTGTTTTCCTTGGAGAGATTGAGTTAGCCAACATATGGGTTAAGAAAGACATAATTTCGAATAGCAGACACGGCCAAGAACCCATCTTTATTTAGATTTTCCGGACAAAGAAGTATATTTTGGTTGATGTAACACCATCACCGGAGTGTCGTGTGCGTGCGAGAAAATTTTTATTCCGGTTAACTATCAAAAGGTTACCGATGACAAGCTTGTACGAAATGGTAAAGATATTCGGTGAAGGCAAATCAATGTAAACTCTTTCTCGACTACTTACCTCACAATCCGCTTTCCCATTAAGATTCAAGCAATTAAAAGGACGCGTGCGGATTCATTAAAAAGGGTGCCTTGCCTTCAAGTCCTGGACGGAAGTGCTATATTAATTTAAAAGAATCGTTTGTGCTGACCACGAGCAACGTCGCGCGTAGTGGTAGCAGATACGTGGCGTGTGACTCAGAAACAGACCACGCAGGTTTGCGGTAAACAATAAACGGCGGCTTCGCGCTAAGTCAACCACTGAGTCGCCGTTGGGCGACGAGATATCCCACATATGTCTACCATATAGTTTTCCGGTCATCATAAATATGATACACTTTAAAGTATTATGACGCACTAAGCCATTACCTTCGAGTTCTCTGTCCCTCCTCCTTCTGCTGCTCCAGACAGCGGACTAGACTCTAATGGCTTCTTTCTAAAGTGTCCTTGGTCACTTTTCGATGAGACCCGAGGCCCTTCTAAAGCCCGTCGTGTGCATATATGGGGATTAGCACATGTCAATCTGGCATAGAAGGAATGTCTATGGCAAGTCATCGGAGCGTGTTGGCCCTATAAGGGTAACATTTTGTTGGAAGGGAGCGTAAGAAATTGTATGAATTCCCTGGTTACCGAAATTCCGTGCAAATCGTCATTGAGTCGTTGAGATAGTGGGGATCCTCGTTACTTGGGATGGACGGGCTACAGAGAACAAAGACGATTTTGGAAAGAGAAACAATCGCAGCTATTGATAGCATGTGAAGTGTGCCAGTACTCATAAGGTTTCTTTTGTAACAGGCCGTAACCCAACAGACATCTTAACGAAATATAAGGCAGGAGTAGTCGACCATATGAAATACGTGGTTGTCGCACCAGCGGAGTTAGTATGCAAGCTGTCCCGTCGCGGTCTATGTAAAAGCCCAAGAACATGGTCTGATATTAGGTGGTCACTCTTCAGGTGAGTCTTTTAGACACAGAAGCATCTGAGATGTCAGTTCACAGTAGTATTCCACAAAGTTCTTTTCTTGAGCTATTTTTTTGATTAATCTAACTAAACGAAATAGTACAGATGATCAGAATGATTACCACCTTACCGCCAATGCCTTAAAAAGCCAGGTCAAAAATAATCAGAGATGAATCTAGAAATCCCTGCTTACCGTATAACAGTAAGTGACCAGTGATTCGAATTCTAACGTGGTAGATAACCTACACATCGAGATTAAAGTTGAGTTAACGCTGCACGTCGTTTCCGCTGTGGATCCAACAGTTACCACGACGTGAACACGATACTTTTTGAGCAACGTCTAACAGTTACTAAAGACACCCACAAGGACATTTTAGTCGTCCAGAGATGCTTCAGTTTACTCACCCACTGTCGCCCTCATTTCACAACCTTTGGCCCGCTGCGAATTAATTGCCGTCCACTAGCCCGACTTCCATAAAAAAACCGAAAAATGCAATTTTCCGAAAGACCCGGTGTCATGTTGCATGAAGAATGAGGCCGCAGTATCATTATCCCTAATTAATTATGAAGCGTAAAGCTATGCTCGTAAAATTCACTGTCCCGTGGTGCGCGACCCATAATGCGGGAAAAGGAGGACTAGGCCGGATGGGATATGCTCAAGTGGAGTTCGGTGACTGGTGGCGAGTACGATTGGACAAAGGAGGCTTCTTAACGTACCCAAGATAATTAAATCCCGCCGTCTGCCGTAAACAAATTTGTTTAACGCACAAATGTTGTGGTGTTTTCTGATTGAAGTAAACAAACGTCAACGACGAGCCAGGCTAACCTAGCTACAATATCCGTGGTAAGCTTTTCGGTTAGATCTAATCCCATGAGTTATGTGAGATATTTCTTGTGGCTTTTTGTTTGACTAAGAGATAAATGAATTTTGGGGACTGTGTACCGGATTACTTCCTCAAGTCAATTCGGATAAAAGTCTAGAATTTATCGAATAATCAAGTGCACTTAAGCATTCCCGTGTCCGTTTTTTGTAGTTCCAGTGATCAAAAGTCCTTATCTATCGGTAAAGGCTATTTGCCTGACGTGAATAGTTGCGAATAAACGATGTTATGAAAAGGTCATCCGTCCAACCGTAGGAGTGACTAATTCCGAGAAGAGGAAGAAAAACAAAAGGAAAGCACGTTAAAGCACACGAACTCTTGACCACAAATCGGACGATTAAATTTTATGTTTGTAAATAACTGCTAGAAATAGAATGATGACAGAAAGACATGTCTCGGAATGATAATTCCGATCGGAATTATCACATTGTCGCTTTAGGTTGCCGGACGGGGAGAACTTGGCGCCTGAAATACGAAACTTGCTGAAAGAAATGAAGCAAGAGTTGGCATGTCAAAGGTTAACCGATTAAAACCCTTTAATATCATATAGGAAAAAATTGGACTTCATTTCAGAGGAAATGGTCTGGGTGAAGACCCATATACAAAATATCGAAGCCAAGCAAGCCGACAATCGTCGAGCGTTGCAAGCAGTTAACTTTGTTTCCAAAGTGAAGCCTCCCCTTCTACAACTGTCTTTGCGGACTGCCGAGGCGTATAAAGACTTTCTGACGAAAATTGGATCGGACAATGAGCTAGCGCAGGAAACGGTGTGTAAACAAGCTTGGACACTCATTACTGCTTATAGGTAAAGCATTTGTCCACCGTTGGGGGACGGACTGAAAAGGAGTTCGTACGTAATCTCCTGACAGCCCTTCTTGGACCTCCCCTCTGCCAAACTTTCTGTTGGGCTGGCTCCAACGACAAGAAGTATTTCGTAGGGAGCCCTCTATTCAGTGTCCTAAGTGGTCTGTTTATTATGTTTTTTTAACACCTGCAGATGCAATACGCTGTAATGAGCAGTACCGTAGCTGCCATTCCGAAGTAATTCGTCAAACAGCTATTGAATGGTTCCATGGAATACGAGACAGATACGGAGGGCGAGCCAAACGGCGTCGAATAGCTGATATGGTACTTACTTTTCCAACAAGTTTTTACAACACATTGACTTAGGGTTCCCTAGAACATTCAACAAGCAGCTTTGAACTTTCGCAAACAATATCGGAGGACACAGTGAGTAACTTCATATTTGCTATGTAGC